CAAAGGATCAACGAACTCCACGAAGTAAAAGGAAGATCTACTAGATATTAATTAAATTATAAATATATCAATTTATGTGAATATGACTGAAAAATTTCATTTTTTCTGAAAAGGTGTTGTCTATTTACTTGTAACCACGCTGTGTAGTTCCAAGACTGTGGAAAATATTGTGATAGTTAGTTTTGTTTTCGGTAGGTCCATCTGAGAAGTATAGTTTTTGGTATACTTTTTATTAAGTGTTAAAAACTTACTGTCCTTAGTTTATGTTTATAAGTCTTGAGCAAATTCTTCCATTTATAAAGTATGTGTACATATGCTGTATTTGTGGATCAACACCAGGTTTTTGCTTGCTAAATGAAAATCTTTGGAAGAAATGGTATAAACAAAGTTATAAATGAATTTTTTTACTGTTGCTTAAGCTGTTGATTCTTTCACTATAGGCTTGGTCCAAGGGGTTGACTTTGTAACCATTTTGAGCTTGTTATAGTTTTCATGCTATAACTTTTAACTCTTTTTTTTTCAACATGGGCTCAGTTCCTGGGACTGACCTCATAACCATTTTGTGTTTTATAGTTTTCATGCCATAACTTTTAAATTAGAAAGTGAATGTTAACGAAATTTGGCAGATTATCAGTAAACATTACAATGATTTAATATCAAATCTTAAGGTTTGTAAAACTGTTTTTCTCATGCCTTTTTTCTTTTCGCATGTTGCCTATCTATCATGCAAATTAATTTTTGTTTTAAGATTAAAGATACTTTTATGCATCAGAAAATTTTCAAATTTCACATGCAAAATCTTTATAATATCCAGATAGTTATCAAGCGTTTCGTAAGAATAAACTTTATATTTTATCTGTTATTTTTAGTAATTAATCTATGTATGGGTTTGGTAGATTTAAATGATCTCATAACCACCATAAAAAATAAGGAAATAGATATAAATTTTGCCTCTCTGGTTCTAGAATGAACACAAATTATAACACAAAAACATAAATGTTTAGACTAACTAGCTTAAATCTCATAACATTATATATTTATACATCTTTTTTATTTTTATTATATTGACTATTCAGCTGTGCCTGGCTAACAATACAGAAGTTACAATGATGCGGCTCACGTGTACTCATGTTACCTTGTCAAATAACATAAAACTGACCATTGGTCTGTACAAAGCAACTTGTCTTGACTGTGTTTTAATAGACTAGTATTTTGTAAAATAGATTCACATTTCAATTATTATATATTATATATGTATAT